AAGAAATTGCTCCCACAGAGTTCGGCCATTGCTGGTAGGAGCAAGACTAAGCAGCAGAAACAGCAGCAGAGGAAATTGTTGGAACAGAGTCAGATCGTTGCTGGTAGGAGCAAGGCGAAGCCACCGTTTCTGAGGTGACATAAGAATAGCGGAACTACAACGATTAGCAGCAGCACTAGCAGTGGAGGGAGTCGCTGATTGAAAGCGAGAAGTCCCAAGCGCATGAGAGAAGAAAGATGGAAGATGAGAAGATTTTGAATTGCAGCCTTTCGACGGCTGCGATGAGGAAGAGGAGGATGCAGACGCGAGGAACGACGACACCTTCGCTGACGCAGGCGCACCGGGTGGGTGACATTCCCAGTGTATGTACACCGCAAACAAAAATTTATTTCTCCCCTCTAACTCCTTTCCTTTATTGCTGCGTTTATGAGATGTTGTGCGTATCATGTACGCCATGTACACAGCAGACAGGAGGTTTAGTCCTTTCCTCTGTTGCTCCGTTTATGAGACGTTGGGCATAATATGTGCGCTATTTGCACTGCAGAGAGAGAATTCATTCTTTTCCTCTATTGCTCCGTTTATAAGACGTTGTGGGTATTATGTACGCTATTTGCACCGCAAAGAGAAATCTGTTTCTTTTTTCCTGTTGCTCTGTTTTTATGAGACGTTGTGCGTATTATGTACGGTATGCGCGCGAATAACCCGTTTGTCCGCGTCACGTAGACTTGACATGTTGGGCGTATCTACATCGCGGAGAAGAAGTCATGAAGTGTTCCTTTCCTCGCTGTTGTCTTCGTGAAACCGCGGGCTTATGTACACTACAATGGAGAGACGACTGTCTTCCCATGCAAACAGAGTGGGGCCTTTATATGTATATATGTATATATACGTATGTATGTATACATTTGTATGCATGTATGTACAACTATATATTTATACAAAGGGACACCAAGTTTCTGTGTGCTCGTGTGGATGGCTACTTTTCCAGAACGTATGTGTACCGTTCCCCGACAGAGCTGACGCGGGAAGTGCAAACTATGGCGTCTTGCTGGGAGTACAGTTACTTTATTTTAGATCTACGTACACCGATATACCTGGATATATCGACATACATATCCGCCCACATATTTGACTATACCGACAGATAGGTACATACAAAGGTCTGCATATACGGACGAGAGAGAGGTGGAGGAAAACACACAGTGCCTTTGTGTCGCGCGAAAGCTTGATACCACATATGCGTGCTTCCTATGGGGTGTTAGGCCAGCGACTGTAGAGTGCTATGCTATTGCATCTTGGTAGGAGCAACGATATTTCTTTTTGAATCTATATGCGCAGATATACCTGGATATCGGAACACATATTCGACAATACCGACAGGAACAATACTGACAGCGACATACATACATAGACATGAATGTGCGGACGGAGAGAGAGAGGTGGAAGAATTCAAACAGCGTCTTTTCAGTGCGCGAAAGCTGGGTACCACAGATGTGTGCTTCCTATAGATCGCTGCGCCGGCGACTATACAGTGCTATACTGAAAACGTTGCTTTACTGTTTGAAGGGATGTCTCTACCGTCTCCTGCGCAGGGATGCACGCATACGCACACAGGCACGACTTACTGTAAGACGTCATACTGCGGATCTGTCTGCACCGTATATACACGTGAGTGGTGCTGTCTGGGTCGCCCTTAGAAGAGTCGGCAGCGGGATGCAGCAGCTGTAGTGAGATCCACAGCATGTGTAATGCATCTTCTCTCTGACAATGCTGCTACTGCTGCCGTGGTGGTAGCGGGGGTCGCAATTCTGTTGTAGAAGCCTGTGCCGCACTGTGACGACTGTTCGCACGTGCTCTGCTGCTGCTGCTGCTGCTGGTGCTCTTGGCATTCGAGTGTAACTGCTGCCGCTGCTGCAGCGGCCGGAGGTGTCGTTCTTCGCGCAGGTTCAGAATGTTGTAAGTACTGCTGCTGCTGCTGTGTTGGTGCGTGGCCTGGGCCTGACTGTCGGTTCTCTCCGCAGGTGATGACTGGCAGCCAGACGCTAATGCGCTGGGGGCCTTCGAGGCCCTGCGAATTGCAACACAGCGACAGGGTCTACGACAGAGGGAGCGGCTGCAGCAGCCGCAGCAGCGGTCGCCGCCACAGTTTCCGTATATATCGGAGAAGGAACAAGCCACAGGGGTCTCTTGTGAACCTGTATACGCGGGGCTTCCGCGCGCGCAGCCTCGACTGCAGCAGCAACAGGAGCCGCAGCAGCAGCAGCATGTAGAGCAGACGCGGGAGCAGCAGCAGCTTTGGTATCCGCAGGAGGAGAAGCAGTGGGAGCAGCCCATGCCGCTCCCGCCGCAACAACAGCAGCGGCCGCAGCACCCGCAGCAACCTCCGCAGCCGCAGCGACAACAACGACAAGAAGATGAACAGCTGTTGAAGCAGCAGCAGCAGCAGCTGCAGGGGCGGGTCAATGCAGGAGGCCTTCCTGCTGGAAGCGCAGCGCAGCACTTGCCCCCGCGCAGCACCTTGATCGCTAGCTTCCACAGCTCTACGCGGTCTACAGTTACAGAGCAATTGAACAGACTTATTGCATTCAGACGGCAGCAGCATCAGCAGCATGTCTCGCCTGCATGGGGGGGGCATTCCGCTCCAGTTCCTGATGCTTCTCCTCCTTCAAAAACAGGGGCTGCTGCATCCGCAGGAACTAGCCATGCTGCGGCGGCTGCTTCCGCAGATACTAGCCATGCTGCAGCTGCTGCTTCACGTGCTGTGCAAGCCGCTCCCGCTGCAGCAGCTGTTTCATCCGGGGCGTGCAGGCGATGCTGCGGCTGATCTTGGTATGGGTTCTCCGCCCACTGCAGCAGGATCGGCTTGCCGAACAAGTTATGATACAGAGGACCGCTGGAGACGGACCCTCTGCTGCTGCTGCTGCAGGTGGCTTGGGAGTTGATTCCGTAGTCAATCGAGGTGCTACTCCTCCGCGTGGATCTAGCCCTCCGCGTGGATCTACTCCTTCGCGTATTAGTGATGCTTTCGTTGCCGGAAGAGGTCCTGCTGCTGCAGGAGCTTATGAGGATACGTGTAACATTCCTCCGCCGGCTGCCACAGGCGGCAACTATTCGCAGCAGACGCCCCTCGTGACATAGGGATAGCTGCTGCGTCTTTGCCACGTAGGCCACCTCCAGGACTTCAGCTTCAGCAACACGCGTTTGTTTCATCGCCTCGGCCTCCTGTACAGCAGCAGCAGCAGCATCGACTGCAGCCGCTACAGAAGTATGCAGAGGTAGGGCAAGCCCCCCGGTTGATCAGTGAGCGGGAGAAGTTGTCTGCTGCGGCTGATGGTATGTCCTCTGCTGCTCCTGCTCCTGTGCTGTCTTCTGCTGCTGTCTCGGCTGATGCTCACGGTAGTGGGCCTGCTGGTTATGAAGCTGCTGCTCGTCCTTTCGCAGCCCCTCCCGCTGCTGCTGGCATTCCTGTTTGTCGTGCTGCTGAAGCTGGAGGCCATACAGCAGCGGACGCAGACCATAGCAGCATGCTGCTGCTGTTGAAGAATCTGAATCTCACTGCTGCGGCGCTTGCCGCTCTAGAAGCTGCCGATGCGTCTAGTGCTGCGGGTTTCTCCGCACAAGCAGGCGCAGCAGGTGCTGCTGGGATCGGCGGACTGCAGCAACAGCTCCGGCTGCAGCAGGAGCTGCCGCCGCTGCAGCAGCAGCAGCAGCATCAGCGAGAACCGCAGTCACAACAGCTGCAGCTGCAACAAGCGCTACAGACACGTGATCTTCAACAGGAGGAACTGCACCAGCACCAGAGGCAGCAGGAGCAGCAGGCTTACCGGCAGGAGCAGGAGCAGCACCAGCAGGAGCTCCAACAAACCCGTCGGCGACAACAGCAGCAGGAGGGCCTCTATCAGCAGCAAGTGTCCGAAGAACAGCACCAGCAGCCGCAGCCGCAGCAAGCGGGGTTTGAGCAGGAGCACGAAGAGCAACTACTACAGGGACAGCACCAGCGGCTGCTGCAATTGCTTCGTTCAGGCGCGTACGCCCAGTTGGACAAAGACAGAGCTTTAGAAGATCATCTGCGAGCCAGAGGCGATAGGGCCGCTGCAGCTGCTCCACGACCAGTTGGACTAGCAGAAGCTACAGGCGGGGGGACAGTACATGCACATGTCAGAGACACACTCATGCAGCCGGACTCTCGGCCTCCAGCAGGACCTGCAGCCGAGCAGTTGCCCAGGGGGGCAGTATATGCAGTCGGCCGCTCTCAGCTACAGCAGATTCACCTCCTACATCAACTACAGCAACCCCAGCAAGTGGAGCTTCTGCAGCAAGCACAGCAGTATCTGGGAGTGCAGCAAGACAGCAGTTGCAGCGGCTGCTCCAAATTCGGCAGTTGCAGCAGCAACAACAGCGAGACATGCTGCAGCGGCAGCAAGAGCCAGCAAACGAGCAGTTGCTGAGACAGCAGGTCGTAGCACCGCCTGGCTTTTCGCCGAGTCCGCGTGGTCCTCTAGAGGCCCACCTGCAGCTGTGGAACAACTAGTCAGCGTACAAGCGGCGTGCAACAGGAGCAACGGCAGCAACAGGAGCAGCAGCAGCCTGTTCAGGTAAGTCAGCCCTGGGGCGGCAGCAGCAGCGTTAGTGGCAGCAGCAGCAGCTCTGTGAAAGGTGATGGAGCAGAGAGAAGAAGGTGTTCACGGAAGCAGAAGTGCTGCAGATGCTAACAGCTGCCCGCAGGGGAACGTCGGCGATAGGGGACCTGTTCCTTCAATGCGGCTGCAGCAGCAGACCTGTGCCCGTCTATGACACAGCAGCAGCCGGCCCCTCCAACTTCTACAGCGGCTCCAACAGCAGCAGCAGCTGCAGATACTTCAGCAACAACAGCAACTTCCACAGCAGCAGCAGCAGGACGCGCAGGGGCAGCTGCAGCAGGAGGCGGCTTACCTCCCAGCACCGCCAACAGACGCCACAGACAGTACGAGCAGCAGCTCAGGCACGGCATGAGCAGACGCTGCAGCGCCAGCAGCAGTACACACAGCAGCCTCAGGAAATAAGGAATCTACAAATGCAGCACCAGCAACAGTCTGCTGATCTGTGGGCGTCCCGCAGCAGAATATCCCGACCAGCGCGTGCGGGAAAGCATGTACTCAAGCAGAGAGATGACACCGGAAGACCGCACAAGATGGCAGCAGCAGCAGCAGCTGCTGCAGCAGCTGCGGCCGCTGCAGCAGCCCTCCGCGCGATCTTCGAGCCCACCGTACCACCAGCGTCCAGGTCTCCCACTGCAGCAGCAGCAGCAGACCGAGCAACGACGAGAAGGGCAGCAGAGCAACAGCTCCTGCCGTCCTGGACTAGCAGGGAGGAACTGCAGCGACTCGGGGCCAGAGGGATCAACGCGAGGCGGAGGAGGAGGCGGAGGAGGTACAACAACACCTGTAACAAGAGGAAAGGGGGCCCCCCTGAGAGGAGCTGGAGGTATGCGGACAGCGGGGAAAGCAACAGGAGACGCGAAGACAGCGGGAGCTGCAGCAGCAGGAGCAGGAGGGGCAGCACCTCCTGCACCGAGAGAGGCAGCAGCAGCAGGAGAGGCACAGCAGCAGGAACAAGAGTTTTTCACGGGTCTCCTCCTCCATATACTGCTTTCTCCGCAGCTTCAGCAGGAGAATGTGTACAGGCTTCACCAGCCATCCTGCAATACTCCGGACATCCAGCCGTCTGGAGCGAAAGGGAGAGTAACAAGCATAAGAAGAGGTAGAGATATATTGCTGGCAGATGGCACCCCCTGTTTGTCTCTTGCGACAGCAGTAGACGTCGAGGGCGACTTTGGAGGAACCGCAGGAGGAACGAGGAGGAGTGTCTGCAAGAGCAGCACACTCGCTTGCAGCTATATGCGCCTCTGGCCTCTTCCCTCTAACAAAGGCTCATCGTGATATGACAGTAAAACATAAACTGCTAGAGCTGCTTCCTTGGCGTATTCCTCAGCATTTAAGAGCGGGCAGCACCAGCAGTAGTGCAAATAGTCGGGCTGCGACGCCAAGGACCCTCAGCCGCAGCAGCAGCGGTCACAAGTGTGGCAGCAGTGGTAGTAGTGAGACTGAGAAAATAGGAGACAACTACAGAAAAGGAGGAGGGGAAAAGCAGAGGCTCATGACTTCATTCGACTTGGAGTATATCTTGCGGTTGCAGTTGACGAGCATGGCGGAAAGTTCCGCAGCTGCAGCTAGTGGACGGCCGCTGGAATTTCCGCTTTCTTAGACGCCAAAGCACTGCAGCAATAGGAACAGCCGGTAGCCGACCCTTGTCTCCTCGGCAAGAGAGTGGCGGTGGTCCTCTCGATAGATTGCTGCCATCAGGGAGGCCACAGTTACCTACTCTTCCCGTAGATATGGAGCATCTGCTGCTGCGTCTGCTATCACAGCAGGAGATGCTGAGTCAACAAGAGCTCGGGTCACCCTAGACAGTGACGCGAAACAGGGGAAGAATGAAAAAACAGGGGATCTTGCAGCATTACGACAATCTGGCGAGAAGCGGGTTTTCGACTTTTGTCACCTTTACTCGAAAGAAAGCTTCACGGCGGCATCGGGATTACCGTTGTTGATGGCGACACACGCATGCACCGCTGCTGCTGGCAGCCTCACACTTCAAGAAGCTACGAACCTGCTGGAGCCGCTGCAGTCCCGACAGCCTTCTGCTTCTTCAGAGAGAGAACGTTCATCTACACATGAGGAATTAGTCCCATGGGTCGCTTCCCCTGATGGCGAGGGGCCATCGACGTAGATATGGGGCTGCTGGAGCCACTTGAAGAGGAGAATACGGAAGAGAAGGAGACTCTTGAGGCTGCAGAAGGCCAGCGGCAGCAGCAACGTAGGCAAAGTGCTCCTGCAGATCGAGAGCTGAGGCGCCTGCAGAAACGATTTGGAAAACCCACCTACTGCTCTGTGCGCCAACCAAGAAGTTCTATATACGTAGGAGGAGGAACATCCACTGCGCTTGCTGCTGTAGGGGAGGACGGGGACGCAGACGATGCTGACCGTGCTGCAGATACATGGGACGGAACTCCTCCTCAAAGCGCACGGAATGGAGGCAACAGTGAGGGGGAGGCACTGATGGGAGGCGTAGACGTCGCCTTACAGCAACAGCAACCAGGTCTAGGAGCAGGCGGGAGTCGCCTTACAGCTGCGCCTGCGGGTGCAGCGGGCGGCTACTCAGACGATAAAGTTAGACGGAAATTTCTCCGCTCTGTAAGTCTGTTCGTTCATCGCTGTTTTTGACGACGCATAATGTACGGCGCTGCTGTAGCATAGACTCTATGAACCCTGTGCCTCTTTCATCATTTCTCTACAAATCAGTTTATGTATCTTTCTATCAGTGTATATATCTGTCTACCTGTATATATATATATATATATATATGTCTACTTGTCTAGCTATGTCTCTGTCCTAGTGTCTACGTATCTATGAATCCGGCTGTCCACGTATCTCTCTAGCCGTGCATCTATCTATCCTGCGCACCACCCTCCTTAATGACCCCTGTTAGCGCCGTACGCCTCTTTTCTGGTAGCGAGCGAGCGGCCTGCGTTGCTGCTCCACCGTCCTGCGTTCTCGCATGCAGCGCCAGTAACGCGATTGCCAGCACGCCCTTCCCCGCTGCTCTCGGCTCAGCTAGCAGCATGCGAGAGTATGCTGGCTACCCCTACTACGCATGTACGCTTGTCCGCATTGTAGACAGCAACGGCTGTACGCGCACTACTATGCGTATGTGCTCATACACATTGTAGACAGCAAGGGCTGTATACCCACTGGTATGCATGTACGCTTTCACACATTGTAGACAGCAAGGGCTGTGTACGGACTAGTAGGCGTATACGGCTGTACACACTCTAGACAGCAATGGCTGTATGCGCACTTGTATGTGTACACAGGTTGTACACGTTGTAGACAGCAACGTCTGTATACGGACTAGTAGGCGTACATGGTTGTACATATCTTAGAGAAACCGCTTTATACGCACTACTATGTGTAAACACGTGTACACGTTGTAGACAGCAAGGGCTGTATACGCAGTAGTATGCGTGTACGGTTGTACACATTGTAGACAGCAAGGGCTGTATACGCGCTGGTGTGCTTATCGGGTTGTACACGTTGTAGACAGCAAGGGCTGCATGCGCACTAGTGTGCATAGACGTTTGTACGTATTGTAGACAGTATGGGCTGCATGCGCACTATTATGCGTATGCAATTGTACAGATTGTAGGCGGCAAGGGCTTTATACGCTCTAGTATGCGTATAAGGCTGTACAGCTTGTAGGCAGCAAGGGCTGTATACGCACTAGTATGCATATACGCTTTTGCGCATTGTAGACAGCAAGGGCTGTTCACGCACCAGTATGCGTAGACGCTTTGTACATATTGTAGACAGCAAGGGCTGCATACGCACTAGTACGCGTATGCAATTGCACACAATGTAGGCGGCAAGGGGTGTATACGCGCTAGTATGCGTATAGGGGTGTACACATTGTAGACGGCAAGGGCCGTATAAGCACTAGTATGCGTATACGCTTGTCCACGTTGTAGACAGCGAAGGCTCTATACGCACTAGTATGCGTATACGGTTGTACACATTGTCGACAGCAAGGGCTGAGGTCTGCGGCTGCGTGAGGGGCTGCGCCATCACTATACACTGCGAGAGATCAATCTGGCGGCCACCACGGAAACTGCGTTTATATCTACCACACCTGTAAAAGCCTTGATGCTGCGGCTGCTGCTTAAATGCTGCAGCCCTTAATGCATCTGCTGCTCATTGCTAGTATGAGAACATACGTGTATACGGCTGTACATATTGTACACAGCAACGCGGCGGGGATCTGCCACTGCCTCAGTGTGCACATGGGGAGCGAATGCACGGCTTATATGTGGCTATAGCTATGTGTCTTCCAGCCTCTGAAGAAATCTTCGCTCACGACCGAGAGAAGGATAAATATCAGCGAGCACCGCCCTGCAAGGCCATGTTGAACTGTTGACAGTGGCGTCGGCCAGACACAAACTGCGTGACACAAGAGAAGCAAATTCTACGTTACTTGTCGCCGTTGTAGGCATGTTCGTAGGCATGTTCGCCTGCTGCATCGTGGAGTTTGAGATTTTGGTTTTTTGGCGGGCTGTTGCGTATGCACGCGCATACATATATATGTATATAAATATGCATAAACGAGGATAAATACCGGCGACCAGCGCCCTGCAAGGCCGTGTTGGATTGTTGGCCGTGCATTCGACCACAGACAAACTACATGACACTAGGAAAGGAACTTCCGACATTTCTTGGCGCCCCTCTAGGCACGTTCACCTGCCGCATCGTGAAGCTTGCAATTTCGATGTTTTGGCGTTCTCTTGCGCACACGTTTTTCTTCTGCTGAAATCTGCAGACAGCTGCGTGGGTACAGGGCGTTCGTGTGAAGGCGCGTGCCCGTGATTACGTGGGCTTGCTCGTGTGGCCGCCCGAGTAGCTGTTCTGAGACAGCTGTATGTGCATACGTACGTATAGGTATGTATGTGTAAGGGGTCGGCGCCTTCTAATGTCGATACGATTTTGCGACCGTAATAGAATCAGGCAGGAGGCCTTTCTCTGCGTATGGATAAGTATTAACTGGTAGAAGTGGTCAGGTCTCAGCGTCGGTGCAACGTTGCCGCCCTACACAAACAGGCACAGGCCCTTCAATGTACTTGGGTAAATTTGCCGCGGCTAACGCCGCAAAGGACTTCTGCTAACCCTGGCGGCCGGCGCCCTCCGTAAATCCATGGATGCTTTCTTTTCAGGCCACTGTAATACGTATACGTATGTACAAGTATATCAGTGTGTAGGTGGGGGCGCGTCTTAGTGACGGTACACTCTGCCGACCCTACAGCAACACGCAGATGTGTTTTCTTTGAGTCTGAGTGACTTTGCTGCAGGTCATACTGGAAGGAAACTCATTAGAACTGCTGGCAGGCGAGGCGCAGCTGCTGAGGACTTGCTGGGCTTGACGGTGGTGGAAGACGCCTTCGATTTACTGCTGCAAGCGGCTGCTCTGGACGAGGAGCTCCTGGTGGGTCCAGGGGTACATCCCTGTTTTATAAACGAGTGACGAAAGCAGCAGGCAGTCTACAAGAAGTAGCTGCAACAGCCATTACACACAACCTTATGGCTTAGGTGGGTGTGCGGATCAGCATAGCAGCCCCATGAGCCCGGCGTATGCAAGTGGTGGGGGGCAGCAGCATACCGTCAGAAGGAGCCGCAACATACTGGCAGAAGCAGCTGCAACAGCTATATATGTACGTATATATGCTTATATGTGTATATATATACATATATGTATATATATATATATAAATATGTATAAATACATATATGTTCGCAGGTATATGTATATCCACAGGTATATATATATATATATATATATATATATATATATATATATATTTGCTGTCACTCTCGCTTAGTACGCTTAGTACGGCCTGGCTACCAGTACAGCAGGCGCAGCAGCCTCGTCTTCAACTGCGCTGGACGGAACAGCTCACTACCTGAAGCAGCTGCAACAATCATCGGCAGCAACTTTCTGCTGGAACCGTGTGGGGCACCAGCGCAGCTGGTATACACATAAGAACGTATATATATACATATATATATATATATATATATCCTTGGTGTGTAAATGTGTGCACCTCACAGTCAGCAACGCCGGCAGCGAACAATGTGCTCGTGTGTATGGGTGTGTCCGCAATGCACATAAGTTGGCGGGAAGAACTTGCGCATGTACTAAATTCTGTTCCGCGGGAATGTTGAGAGGCCGCTACGCCATTCCCGAAGCTATGATAAGTATGTTGGCGGGGCTGTTCAACTCGCTAGGGAAGCGTGAAGATCGCAGTGACCTGCGAGGACGTCGCGTTGTAAAGTGTGTGTGTGTGTGTGTGTGTGTGTGTGTGTGTGTGTGTGTGTCTCGCCTGTACAGGAATGTCCAGCAAGTCATGTGACTGCTCGTGGACGCCTTGCTGAACAGCGGGAGCACCTGCTGCTGCAGTTGTTTGAGTTGCTGCTGCTGCGTCGTCATGTACGCCCGACGCGTGTGTCGGACTGCGCCTTCCTGTATATGCTGGACATCCATCCGCCTGCATGCGCTGCAGACGTGGAGGAGTACGTACGCGTGTTTCAGCGACAGCTGCAACTGCAAGAGAAGCTGCGTGAAGTGCTCCAGGGGGACGAAGAGCAGCAGCCGTCGGAGCCGCCCGCGGACCCGTCGCAGCTGCCCGAGGGAGACGGACGTAAGCAGGAGGCGGAGCGCCTGCAGAGAGAATTCGAGCACTTGCGAGCAAGTATAGCAGTAGATGTTACGGATGGAAGATGTTGCACTCGGTGGATGCTGACCCGCGTCTATTCGAAGAACAAAGGCCGCCACTTGCTGCATCGCTCCTTGCAGCTGCTTCCCGACCTACAGGCTGCTGTGCTTCTTCAGGGGCTATGCAGCAGTCCCTCCATTCTAAACAGCTTATGTGTTGCTGCAGACGCGGCATTGGTGTCTGCCGAGCAGCCGAGAACACTGCAGCAGTATCAGACAGCAGCGCCCTGCCTGCACTGCTCCTTCCAACGTAGCGGACGCCTTTAATGCGGCAGCACCAGAAAGCGGAGCCGACGGGCAGACGGCACAGTCCCTTATTGCCGGAGACGGGGACGAGGAAGTTGAAGCGCGGGCACGTCGGCTCAGTGTGGCGTCTGCTGCTCTGCTGGAAGAACTAGTCCTTTCACTAGAAGTGGGGAGGTGCCAGGCAGTCGCACTCCTGTTAACAGGAAACGGCCGCTGCTGCAGCGTCTGCGTGCTGCGCAGGGGGAAAAGTCTTTTGGTGTTTCTGCGCAAATGTACGTGCAACTGATTCGGTTGTTGTTGCGTCTCGGATCGACGGCGGAGGACTCCGCCATCCACTTCATCACCGGCGTCGCGCAGCAGATCATATGGGGATTCTCCGCCGAAGATCTTATGAAAGTGCTGGAGTGGCGGGTACGCCGCTTACACGTATACGTATACGTATATATATATATATACACGTATAAATATATGTATCTGTACGCTAATTCTGCGCTGCCCTTACTCAGTAAGCGGCGGCTGATAAGCAATCCACTTTGTGTTTGCTTCCGGGAGTTTGAGGCCGCCCGACAAGCCTGGGATAGGTTACGCTGCTTCTAGTTGACGCTCACGTACCACTGTAGAAGCGTTCAGACACACGCTGCTGGCACAACACCTGCGTCGCTTTTGCGTCACCGGGTTGCTTATTCGCTAATAGCATCTGTTGTTTGTCGTGCTGTTGGTGCTGCACGCGCCCCGTTGACCCGGGCTGTGCAGCTGTTGTTACGGCTTCATTCAAAGGCGGCCAGTAATGTCACGCGCCTGTCCCCGCTACTCATCTCCCCCAGGCGTATAATTGGTGTGTCGGCGCTGCAGGAGTAGGCCTGTGACGCGCGTAGTCATGCCATCCTTCTCTTCGCAGCGCATAATTGATGCGTCTGAGTTGCAGAAGTAGTCAAGTGTGTAGGCCCTGCTATTGTGTATCTGAGCTGCAGCGGTGCAGCTGTCACCCGCGTAGTCGTGCTACAGCGTCCCTCATATCGCATCACTGGTACATATGAGCTGCGGTAATACTCCTGCGCTGGGAAGTGCCTGTAGTTGTCTTTCCATCTGTTGGATTTGGCTTTGTCGTTCTCCCATAGCCGGTCACTGGCGCTTTCGAGTTGCAGGGGTACTCTTGCAAAAGAGAATACGTGCCGCCTTGTTTCCAGCTGGCGAACATCTGTGTGTCCGTAGTCGCTAGTGGACGCTGTGGCTGCCAGATACTAGTTTCGCAGGCGCTGAGATGGAGTGCACTTGTGTTCTTTCTTCAGGGCGGCTGCTGTTTCTTCTCGTCTCTAATTGCCATGTTTCCGCCCCCGGCGATCCTGACTCCTCTCCAGCAGTAAGTCGGCTTGCTCATTGTATCCTAACTCTCCGACAGCAGCACCAACTGTATACGTAGCACGAGCAGGCAGGGGGCGGGTCTGTGACAGATGCGGCAGCGAGACCCGCGCAGAGGTACGGTTGCTGGGTAGCGGAGTGCTAGTCGAGTTATCAGTTCGTAGGTTGACGTCGTGTTCCCGCACAGCCGGCAGGAGGTCGGTTGCATACTTCTATGTCGATGATGTTATAGACGTGCTGCTACTACAGCGGTAGCACTTTTGGACTTTTGGGTGACCGCGATGACAGCAAAGGCCGTCATACTGAACCCGGCAGTAGCGCCTGTCGACTTTCTCGTGGCCACAATGGCAGCAGCGACAGGCGTGGAAGCCCAGCAGCAGCACCCGCTGGCTTGTGCTGACCACGGTGACAGCAGCGACAGTGATAAGAAGCCTTACATATCGATCATTACCTGCGCCTGTTACGCTGCCGAGTACCGCTTTCAAAAAGCGAGCGAGGTTACACACGACCGTGCTCAGAACAGCGTAGCTGCTGTGTGCGTGGCCACAGCCTGTACGTACGTGAATTCCTCGTTTCGTGGAATGAGGACAGCTGCTGGCGTGGCTGGGGTGGTGTGTGGCTGCAGCGAGACGTTGCAGGACTGCCTGAAGCTTGTTGTTTCGGCTTTGCTACTGACAGCCTCCTCCCGAGACTCTCACGTGGCTGCTGCAACGGAAGAGCAGAAGCGGCACAATCGACAACTAGCGCGTGCTCCACTCATTCAGACCATCGTCCAGCAGGCGCGGCCCTATGAGTGTCGTGCAAAAATCATTACCAGCACTGCAGTGTAAGTCTCACACCGAGCTGAAGCGCCATAGCGGGCCTACTGCATGTGTAAGATATACGATCCTCCGTAAAGACGCACATATGCGTGTGTGCACATGCATACAACTGTGTGTAGCTCCGCGTAACCTAGTGCACGTTTTGCCTGTCAATTAGCGCACTTCGTGCATGTATAACGTTGAAGACTGCATATAAGTACACATGCATATATATATACATATATGTATGCAAATATACGTACAGTTATGCATAAATCTGCATATCGTAGCGCACCCTGTGCGCGTTGACCTACGGTATCTGTCGTGACCATGTGCGCTGCACCGCTGCGGAGGGTTACACCCCTCTCTTTGTGTGTCTCCATGACTTCTGTTTTCAAGTGGGTACGACTGGCTGATGCTGATTACAGCTGTAGCGGTGAATCGCCAGTGGCGGTGCATTTGCTGTAGTTTTTGCTGCGTCGCTTCAGCAGGAAATGATCCGTCGTTGCTGCTGCGCTTTCGCTCGACTTCTAGAGTGCCCCGCTTCTGCTTACACATGGGCTCGGGCTACGCGAGGACGTATACGTTAAATATATACATATATATATGTACATATATATAGATATATATATGTATATATTCCATTCCGTACAACACCCTGTCCTCCAAGAGTTGTGATCATCTGAAAATATACATATATATATATATATATATATATGTATTTATAGTCTCCATTGTGCAGTATCATCCGTTGGCTGCGGTTGTTTGAAGTATACAATCCAAAATTTTCTCGTATTCTCAATACCCTGTAGTATTCGTTGGCTGTAGTTATGTTAAGAGCTCTTTCTCTATATATACACATACATATATATATATATATATATATATATGTGTATAGATCCGTATAAGCATTTATTTATAGTGTTCGTTGTTCTGTTTCACCCGTTGGCTGTGATCAGCCGCCTGTATATCCGTAGGTTTCCCTGGGCCAGCCTGCTGTATGGATTTTCTACTCACGGTCTTCACGACAAGCAGCCCCTGCGCTTGCCGTCCCAGTACATACCACGCATCTATTGCTGTGCTGGTGCTACGCTGCTTCTGCGCGTGCTTCCCTCCTCAGTCGTAACTCAGGGCACTGCTCGGCGTGGACGGCGCGCAGGAGGCGCTGTCGGCTTTTCTTCATGGAAGGACTCTCTGAAATGAGGTAGAGCGTCCGCGAGCCCATAGATCTGTTGTTTTGCGACTTCTGCAGTACTTTGTGGACATTGTCTGCGTCTGTGCGTCTCTACTTTCACGTAATCTGTTCTCTCTGCCTATCAGTCTATATCTACCCACGGAGCTCTATCTGTCTGTCCATATTTACCTGTCTAGATCTATTCGTTCATAACTATCTGTCGACAGCTGGTGTCTGGGTGTTCCCATCAATGTGTATCTGTATGCACACATGTGTATGTGAGCGCCAACTCGGACCCTGTGGGTCGTAAGCGCGTGCGTATGCGAAACCTGGCCTTCAAATCAGGCAAACGATTCCGCATATGTGTACATCGGTTGAGACGCTATTCTTCATGAAGCAGAATGCGTTTTTAGCTGCGCTTCGGTGGGTGCGTGCACAGCGGAAAGAGAGTCTTCAAGGTGACAATCATGAGAAGTGCTTGTTGCTTTTCTCGAATGCTCGGAACTGCACAGCATCTTTCGCTGGGGTCTGTATTTCTTTTGCGTAGCCAGAGTTGTCGACGGCATGCATCTGCAATACACCAGAAAGAAGAAAGATCGTTCTGTGTGACGCTCTCATGCGTCTTCCACTCTCGATTCCACCACATAAAGCGTGCCCATGCATGAGGCGCGTAAACCTGGTTACGCGCAGAAGCAGGAGGGGTAGACAACGCATCCGCCTGGTTCACAGATCTGCAGACGGGTAGATTGCACTCGGCGTTGGTCGCGGCCAGTGTGAGCTAGTCGATGATGGGCGGTGTGAATGACGGACACGTCCGCTACGTGCACGCCTGCAGACAATAAACATTGAAGAGTGCAGCACACGTACAGATGTAGGCGTACAAAGTGGTATATCCGTCAGCGCCTGCATGCGCCAGCATGTGCTGCGTTGGACGGGTCATATGATGCGATCGTTCGTGTCTTTTCTCCGCAGCGCGATCTCTATGGCCCGTACTCCGCGTGCCAGCTACACTCGGCGTATAGGCGGAACATCTGCAAATGCTTGTCTGGACAAATTTTTCCTGAGACCCCCTTCGTGCAGGCTGCCTGCCTGCAAGCTGACAGAGGCGTGTTCGCACTGAGCATTACTGCCGACTATGATTCCTGTGTGGATGTTTCATCGTTTGTGTGCGTCTTTCTTGTCTCGGTCGATGGCGTGTGCGTCTACTTCTCTGTGTGTGTGTGCCGGTCTGGCTACACCTGTAGTTCGGCCGCCGGCAGTTGCTGAAGTGCCGAAGCGTGCAATAATTAACTCGCCATTCGGTAGATGCCATCGAAAAGCGTGCGAATTCCAATTGCACGCAAACGTCCCGTCGGGAAGCGCCTTTGGACCCGCGGTATCTGAGTTGCGCACCGGTCTGTCTTTCACGTATAAAGCTTGCGATAAGGCCGACGAGGAAGGGCCGGTATCAACGGTTTAGCGGATCTCCCCGTACGAGATTCCTGAAAGCTCAAGGGCGTCTGCGCGACTGTGTAGCACTGCGCGGTAGATAGTACGCTGCAGATCTACACAGGGACGTGTTGCAGGTCAAGGCGACGGTGTTAGTCCTTTCGTCTTTCCCACGCGGTGCTCTTTACAGACTGCCGGAATATTGAGAAGTATTATGCTCCCTTGCAGATACCCAGCTTCTTGAGAAATGTGCCATTCAGGCGCTGTTCGGGTATTGTGGGTGGCTACCGGATTACTGCAAGGTACTATTGGTCCATGGCTCATTTTGTGTGTGACTTCGTGTCTTTATGGTTCTGTCTCGTCGCACTTCACTTCGCTTTCGACACAAACGGGCTGGCGCCTCATATGCAGGACGACGAAGACGATTCGCACGACGTGAACTTCGTTTGTCCACAAGCACAAGCTCATCACATAGAGTCACACATGCGTAGATCGTCTGTCACAAGGAAACGAGTGCATAGCGGGATTTTCGCGCGAGGCTTTCCGCGACTTCGCCCCGCCGGTGACATGCAGGCACACGTAAGTAGACGGTCTTTAACATGAGAACACATAGAAGGCGAGGTTGTCGCGCGTGGGCCGCCACTACTTCGCGCCGATAACGTAGAGGTACACATGAGTAGTAGATGGTTGATGCCCCTGGAAACACATGAGCAGCGGCGTTCTCGTGCGACGCTTGTCGTTGCTTGGCCTCCATGGCAACGTGGTACTTCCCTGCGGCCCTTTTGCTACATGCGGTGCGCAGCCCTTCGCAGGCATGCTTCTCGAAGTCGCGGCCTGGTCACTGCTATCTTGGCGTGCGTCTGAGTGGAAGACCGTGACCTAAAAAGCGTGTAGACTGGAAGCTGCTGAGCACGGGCTCTCATTAGAGTGACGCGGTTGCCGCGGGGAGGACTACGCGAAAGAAATACCAGTACATTCCGCACATGGGTGGTATAGAGGAAATGTGCGCGTGGGCGCTTCACTCTGCGCGCTTCGTAGGGCCCCTGGCATCAGGCTGCTGTGTCTCACATGTTCCGAATCGCGGGCACCGACGCATCCAATAAACAGTGATGTGCTCTTGGCTTTTGTTGTACGGTTGAGCTGTAAGCCGTCTCAAGCCCGCCTAGTCCTACAACGAAGGATAATATGCCTTCAACTCATAATGTAGCACTGGGCTATAAGCGGGCTTGAGCGCACCGACGCGTCCCATGAAAAGTGCTATATTGTTGGCTCATATTGCAGTACTTACCCGCAGCAACGCATACAGTATTTGACGATGTGCTGTTTACTCATATTGCAGGAGTGGGCTGTGCGCGGTTTAGAACGCGTTAACGCACGCAGTAAGGAATGACTTACATGGGCTCAGATTGGGGCAGGTGGCTGAGCTTCTTGAACGCGCTAAGCAAACAGTAAGAGCGTTCTTCTGGCTCGTATTGTACCATTCGCGTGCAAGTCGTTTCGAAGGCACTGACGCAGACAAAGAATAATGCTGTCTTTTTGTCTCAGGTTAAGCTCCAAGGCCTTTTGGACGCGAACTCTCAGCGTATCCCCCACTGCTCCTGCAACCGTGATACTCGCCGCCGAGCCAGTGGCAGGAGACCGCCTGCCGGGGTTGCAGTATTGATTCGCGAACGTTTGCTATAGCTGTGCTGAGCACGACACACGTCTATATCTTCTCCTTCAGTATAAACTTGTTTACTCTTCATTTGCCAGCCGGCACACGGAGACGCCAGGGTAGCGTAGAGGGCACCTCGGACATAATACGGCTGCGTTACATACGGGTGAATCTGTCCTTCCCTATAGTTTTGGGAATGAACAAACGCGCAAGTCACTGTTGAGTGAAGTGTCGTGCACATACGTCAGTCGCGAGCCGGCACAAGGAGATGCCAGACGGTTCTTCGTATACCTTGACTACGACATAGCTGCGGTACGCATGACAGCGGCGTCTCTGCTTCGTCGCTCATGCATCTTGATGCAGTGCGCTTCCGCCATTACGGGGAGACCACCAGGAAACGAAATGTTCGGTCTTCCGGTGCCTTGGCGGCCCGTGGCACATTTGTGGAGTTAAATACCGTTCCGCGGAGGGGGAAATGCGGTGGCGCAGCTGACCCTGCACTTCATACGGATTGTGCTATGCTCGGGAGTATTTGTACGGCGGGCTGCGCTTTGGAGACGGTGTCCCGGAATTTAGCGTACGCAGTATGCGGCTGCGGGAATGTAGTCGAAGATAAAAAACAAACCGGTACGCAGCGCCGGCATCTACACTAAGATGCCTATAGGCAAATCACGTATGGTCATAGGAGGATGCGCATGTGTTGCAGACGTTCGCAGGAACAATCCAAGTATGGCACACGTCACTCCCCGCCTTGTAGTGCAAATCAGATGCTTCACACCATCATCTGACGGAGCGGAGCCGTCCTTGCTTGACTTGCAGCTTACAAGCACCTGTGCGTCTGAATGCACACCACCATAAAATGACGCCCGAGTGTGAGGGCGGCAGCGTGTCTGTGGGGCGCAGAGCAACACGCCACGTGCGGACCTGGCGCTTGCCTACGCCTGCTAATGAGCGTGCACAATCTGGGGACGGCCGTTAACTGAGCACATAGAGAGGAAAGGCATCAGTGATCGTTTAGTCTCTTCGCGTAAGCCGCCCGATCGCTTCAAACCTTCCGCCGTCCGCTCCCCAAAGTAGGAATCGAAGTGGACTGTGGTCCCAATTACCAAGGCTGACGCGCCCTCATGTTCAGCGCGAGCTCCGAACCGCCGCAGACCGCGGTGAGTCGCAAGAGCTGGGCATTTTCTGACGTTGCCGGCGAATGCGCACATAGCATACAGCTGAGCGTAGGATAGCTCAAATCACCGTTGGGCTCTCGGTACGTGGACCAACACTTGCCGGACCGCGCTCTCGATTCTCAGAAGCGTGCAGATACGCCGAGCGGTCAACGCTCAGACGTTTCTTCAGCACGTATGCAATACCGCGCCCGAGTAGCGTTTTTCTTGTCTGCTCGCTCGACTGGTGCGGACAGGAGCGTAAGGCCGCGCATAGGTGCGTACAGAGTGGACGGAGGAATGCGCGACCCCCCGGTTGACTACAGCTACATCCCTGCGCTAAACTGTTGGTGGTGTCGCTTCTATACGTATGCGCCATCGGGCAGGCGCACACAGATGCACCAACACACATACACAAGCATGGACGTGTATGGCTGAATGCTTCTCTCCTCTCTCAGAAAACAGCAGCCGGGATGCCTGCGGCTTTATGCAGGACGGAACAACGCCGGAAACGTGTACCAGACGGCTTTCTCGCTGTGCGGGCCGGCAGATACGGCGCTATCATTTTAGTTTCTGCTAGGCAGGTACCTTCGGCAAAAGAATGTCAGTGAATTAACTCGACAATTTTTCTCTATGCTTCTGATCGCAGCTTCCCTCCATTTGGACCTCCGGAGTCTTTCACTTTGGGGTGACGCGGTAGCATGTTGGCCGCAGTTGCCAGACCACGGGTAGCATCTGCGAAGACGTGTCTGTGTATTGGTGACGCTTCAAAGCCAGCGACTGTGCTGCAGGGCTGGCTCATTTGCGAGTTGAGGGTAATCTGGCAGGTATGGCAAAACTACGCCGGGTGCGTGCGCACGGATAGATCCCGCACAAATGTGGGATGCTGGAAGTCCAGCAGCCCTGGCGCTGCAGGTGCCATGAGGATGGCGTCCGCACTGAAGTGCGCAGTACGCGTCTCCTGCCTGGGCTGCCGTTCGGAGCGGAAACCGACGCACGTGTGTCACATCCCATGGTGCCTCGCACAATCTGTTTGTGCCTTGTAAAGCACGGTTGCAGTCAGCGCCGTCGTCAATCCAGGAGGCAGCTGCGCCTCTACGTCCCCGTAATCTGGACTCTGGGAGTACATTCGAGAATCACAACACCACACATAGTCATTCCTGAGGAAGCACGTCGAGACCGTAGCCAGAATCTGCAGCCGGTCATAACAAAACGTGCCGTTGTATTGACCGATCACACGGCGCAGACAGTTGGACATCGCGTCTTCCTGCACCGCGGCTAGAACTAAGCGGGAGATGGGTGCATCTGCCCGATTTGCGACCTGCAGCTGCACAGACGTTTGCCGCTGCGGCGTCCCTGCTGCTCGAGGTAAATGCGTGCGTGGATGCGTTCGCGCAACGCGTGAAGGCCGCAGCCAGGATCTGCAACAGATCTCACAGACCTCTACCGTTGTACGCACTACTTGTCCGGTGCAACCATTTTCATAAAGCTGCAGTGGCGCACGAGACGCAGTCGGCGAACATCTTATAAGCGCAGCACGCTCCTAGCGCTGAGCGCAGAGAAAAATGTCCAGAGAACAGATGCTCCCTTGAACTTGAGGTGCCCCCGTGAATTGGTGGGCAGGCATCTCACAATAGCAGCCCCTTCTCGGGGCATTTCCGCTATATGCACGATCCTGTGCCGCCTACAACTTAGAATTCCGCACATCTCCTCACCTAATCAATCGCCTCGGTGCGAGCGGACTGAAAACGAGTCACAGTGCTAGCACAGCCTGCCGTAATAGAAAGACACGCCGCAAAATGTCCGCAGGCGAATTGCCGCCAGCATTACCCACAGAGGGCTGCGGTGACAGGTCCCAGCTGGTCAAAGATCCTCTGCCGCAGCAGGGCGAAAAGGTTCGAAAGATCTGGAGACTTACTTCCCGCGGTACGTCGGTGGTTGTGTCCGCGTTGACGGGCCGTACTTCAGGCAGGGCACACGGATGAGACCTTCCATAGCTTGCGTACGCGTATATACTGTTGCAGAATCTGTGTATGGAGGTAGGACAACGTGCAGGCAAACGCGGGCACGGATAGGTTTTCCGGGGTCTGTCCTGTCGGCGTGGACATCGGTATAGCGGGTTCGTGCCTCACGTCCAAAATTGCGCGTGCCTACAGGCAAATCTAGACAGACACATCCGTAAATGCTCCGTGTCTTTGAACATGGCGGGCAAGCCACCGCAGACGCACGCTTTTCGGGCTACGCTTTCACCAAAGATCAGCTCTTCAAACCTAGGCCCCCAGGTTGCACCCAGGCGCGCAGACAGAGGAAGGTCTGCAGCTCCGGCTGCATTCCGCAGATGCATCCGCGCAAGCACATACAGCCAGGAAAAAGGTATGTCTGCGACTGTGAACAAGCGTACATGAATGGCTACGCGAGTGCGCGTCCGGATGCCTAGCCTAGCAATGTGTCGCTTACCACCGTGAACGTTCTGGCCCCCGCCTTGACTTTCACAGGCGTGTTCGCGCTTTCTACAAAGACATCCAAAGAACCCCCCCGGATTTGTGAAGACGATCACAAAACAACCGCCGCTACGTACCTAGTTCTTCATGCTGATACAACAAGCAATCACTTTCCATCATTTACGCAGATATCTTGGTAAAGTACATTCTCGTCACATACCGACGGTGTTTAGCTTAAGAATATCTGGAGATTGAATTGCCGCTGCTGCTGGTAGGCGTGGTTCTACACCTTCGCAAATATATATTTCTATAAATATGTACATATCTACATATATGTACCTGTACTGAGGGGATTAATATCTGGCGGGGTCCTTTGTGCGTAGAACGTCACAAGCGGTGATGCCTACGGTACGCGTGTCGTCGCCATGCCGCACCTGGTGAGGCTGTCTGCATATCCACCGCAGGGTACGTACGGAAGAGAAGAAAGTAGTATCGCGTGTGCAACTAGCGTTTTCCGCCTGACCGAACGACAAGCACCTGTCGACGTTGTCTGTTGCTTCGTTGTGTATCATGTTAAGCTAATGCACTTGTCCAGCAATGTAGGCTTGTTTGGTTGACTGTATCGCCCGTACTCACAGCACAGCCTTTCTGGTGTTTCAAGCGGAAGGCGTTTCTGTCTGAGTGCCTGTTGCGGGTTCGGCTGCTGTCAACGCTGCATTCCGCCCTCGGCGGCGCGGGAGGCGCGGTACGGCCGCTGAGAGGAGTCCGACGCTACTAGGAGGGAGAGCAGCACCAGCCATCGACCCATCTGCCACTGCAGCGGGTTCCGGCTGCATGAGGATGCTGCCACAAGCTGCTGATGTACCGCACAAGCACGTGCCGCCGCCATTCCTCGGACGGTGCCCCTCGTCGCTGAAAGCAGCTTTGGGGCCTCGGTGTGACTCGACGCTATTTCCTCCAACTGGGACAGCGGGTGGAAATCCTTCCGCGAGTAACACGCGGACCGTCCAGCATTCTCAGACTCGCAATATTGGGCACAAAGCACTTCTGCAAGCCTCCGCGTCCGTATGCTTTCCGTCTCCGGTGCCGCGTCGAGATGCCGACCAGCTAGCTGGACGGCCGTTGCGAGCGACGAGCACCCTCGCTCTGCTCGGCCCCGGAGTCGAGAATGCCAGCAACGTGTAATTCGTGTCGAAAATTGACTGCAGAATTGAATCTGTTTTCAGAGTGTACACATCTTTCTCGTATGCCCACTGCAAAGGACAGCACCGCCGGACTTGTCAAGGACAGGGAGGGTATTCAAGCATTCGTCTCATCTTCCATCTTACGTCCTCTACAGCAGTCATCGTTGCGTCTTACAGGACGCCACCAACTCCGTCGTATATCATACGCTGTATCCCCCGGTGACAGTCCAGCGATGGCATACGGTTTCCTCCAGACTTCGCCTGGCGCCGGTGGTCGGGGGCCAATCCTTCGTCCACTGCAATGCCTTCTTTTTCTCGCTATTCTAGTGCTCGCTTCTGTTATCAGTGCCACTGCAAGTGATCCAGCAGGCAACGACGATGCTGTGGCCGTCCAGGCGAATATGGACGAGCCATCGTCCGAACTAGCTCTACCTGAAGACGGAGAAAACGACGAGCAGGCCGGAGAGACTGGAAATGACAAACAGCCTCTGGCTGAAGATGAAGGACAGGTGGTTTCTAATGTCCAGTTGAAAACTGTGTCTCCGCACAATGGTGATAAGAAGAGTGCGCGAAGCCCACCGGGAACCAGCCCAGGCACGACGGGTACCTCGACCCCCGCCGCAGACGAAGCTCACGCCACAGGTTCTAAGGGTACAGGGGGGGCAGTCAAGGCCTCGAGCGCGGTGGATGAAGAGAAAGAGGCGAGAGAGAGAGAGAAGTACAAGCAAATTTATGGTCAAGCTGCTAAAGAAGCAGCGGAAACAGCTCGAGCTCAGCAGCAGGTCCCCAAAAGTCAGCAGTATCACAGGCTCGTTGGTCGGACCACGCAGCAGGAAGACTACGAGAAGCTGAAAAAAGAGCTTGAGGAAATGCCTGCCGACCAGAGGGAGAAATTGATAGCAAAAAGGCGAAAGGAAGTGCAAGACAGAAAAGATGCCCGTAAGAAGTACGACCAAGTTATAGAGGAGCTGAAGAAAAAACTAAAGGAGCGGGAACAACGCAAGGCGGCGGCCGCCAAACAGCCAAGGACTCGATCCAAGACCATATAGAATGTTAGTCCGCGGTGTTCGGGGAGCCAGGCCTCCATATGTATACGCCGCCAACAACAGCGGCGCCAGAGCAGAAGCAGCTTGGTGAGAGGCACCCTACTTTGGGCTTTTTCGATGCGAAACAGATTCTGTGCTCCCAGTTTTTTAGGTGGCTAGCAGACGGTACACCGGCCTGACGCAGGCACCTTGCGCGGGGCACAGGTACAGGTATAGAATCAGAGACCACTTACATTGTCCGGGCTGTGCGGGGGTGCTTCGGTTGAGACCCGATGTATTCGCTCCGTATTTACAGAGTTGTATGTATCCCAGAGTGTGCCCGCCCATTGGTTGTATTTGCATGCCATGTGGTCGAACCCGCCTACTATCGACGCCAGCAGCCTTGTAAAGCGCAGGTGCTTTCCCCTGGGCCTGTTCAGCGGTTTTGGTTCCGGGTTCGCTTACGTATTGATCGGTAGCCGCGAGGTAGTCCGACTGCAGTTTGAACCTATGGAGCGGTCTTCGTGTCTGGAGAAAAGGAAGCGGGCAGTTGTTGTTTCTGAGATCGTTCTACTTTGAAGAGGCCTATCACTTCTTGCATGTGGCCTTCCGTAAACAATACATGTGTTGTATGTACTGCGCTGCTCGGCTTAGCCTCCTTGTGGCATGCGAGGTGTTGAAGCGGGATCAACGTGCTTCATGTGTCCACCTGTCTTCCTGTTAGCTCATACGCTCCAATTGGTAAATCGTGAAACACGAAGACCGAGCGTTTTTGTCAGTCAGTATCAAACGGGCGCACGACTCGCATGCCCATTTTTCGTCAGGAAGGTGCTGGCTAAGAATGGTTGACGTGATGTAGCTGTGGGCCCATATGAATGCGGAGTGCCTTTGTTTCCAGTCAAGGACGCAAACTGTTTCTCCTGGCGCTGGCTCGCGTCTCCTGTGGACAGGTTCCCTCGTTAAAAGGCACGCTAAGGAAGACATAGCTCGACTTTCGTAGTTTGGCTACAAAAATTACCTGTGAGCGTGCATCTTATTCTTCCTGCAGTGGCAACAAAACGGCCGGCTACACGTGCGGGCTTCAAGACGACGTGCACCGCCCGTGAGGTTAGTACGTGTGTCTGAACATAAGGTACCGACTACCGAATACCGGCGAGAATAGCTGAGGTTCTGGCTCGCATGACGATCTCGCAGTCTCGTAGAGGTCACTAAACTACATATCACGGGGTCCGTACGCGCTCAAGGCGAGCGAGGGCGCGCTTCGCATGCATGTAACACAGCCATTGTGTTCCATGGGGGTTCTCTCGTCAATGACGTACAACTGGACCGCTACGTGCACGAGCTCCCACGGTTAATCACGGAGGCGCATAGCCCCCGGAGCCAGCGCTCGGCGCTGCAGAATGTTGCTCAGTAAAAAACTCGGTCTTACCACAGGTGCACGCACTCAAGAAGGGAAGTCAGGGGACGGGTCATCCGCAGTGTATAATCTTTCGCACAGCAGCCCGGTGGAAGAGGCGCAGATTCAAGCCCTTCCTACATGCAGAAGTATTGGTGTGGAGCGAAGAGGATGAAAGATGTGTTCCTGTACTCAAGAGTGTGCGCTGCCCGTGGTGGCGCCCGGGCACGAGCGTATCGGTTCGATCGTAAGGTTGTACGCGCAGACAGCTACACAAATACGCCAAGCCTTCTGGGAGACCCGCTGCTTCTTTGGTGCTGCGGTGGCCTCACTCGCTCTTGCAGACTACCTGGCGCGCCTTCCCTCATCACTACTTATACAGATTGTGAGGCGGAGCGGCGTAGCCCGGCCAGGCGAGCAAGCACTTACGCAATTCCTCGCCGTTACTGCTGTATGTGTAAACGGTACCGCTGGTTCTCAACGGTTTTGTAGAGCAGCCGCTAAAGCCAAGAAGTCGAGGAGCGTGCGTGCCGCGTGCTGGCTTGAAGGCCAGGAACTGTGGGGCGCATTAAATCTGTCTCCTGACTCTCCCGGCGTTCATCCTTCTCATCGGCCGTACTCCTCGTGCACGTACAGGAGCGTGGGTGCCCCACGAAAACTACGGGGTCGCACGAGATGTAGGCACCAATGTAGGCCGGTTTAGCCGCGGCCCGCGCTGCTCTCCTTGTGCAGGCTTTCACTGCTGTGCTAACGTACGTAAGTTGCCTAGGCAGCCGTCGGACCCGTAGACAGTATCCCGCACTTCTCACTCCTCTCGATCATGCGCCAGAGGCCAAAGAGATTCCTTCACAGCCACAGAGAGCCCGGGCGGGACCCCACGGCGGTCTTCCCCTTGCCGCCGCATGCGGATTCCCCGGCGAACAATGGGCTCGGCACCAGAATGGATCCGGACTGCCGGCAAGGAGACACGCTACAGCAAACACAAGTTTCACCCACCTGTGGCCCGTAGACAGACACAGTCCAACACCACGTCATATCGCGGTGTGTCGCATGCCGGCGCCTACGTATACCGTGAGCAGTTCTCTAACCTCTTGACCCTTTTGCCGGAACGAAGACACGGTAGAGCAGAGATGCTTCCTGATAGGAGCCTTTTATTGCACGGTGCGTCGCATACGAGAGTTTATGTTCACTGCCAGCAACAGAGAACCCTTTTGTTACCTTCATACGCCGTTGTGTAAGTCCGCGGGACATCCCGCGGGAACCCGAGCACGACACTTACTGCTAAGGAATCATATGAGGCAGCCGCAGACGCATCCAGTACATCGCATCCTGCATACTGCATACTATAGTCTACGCAGCTGCATGCGACGAAGCTGGTCCTCTCCCTCTGGCCAGTAACTACGTAAAGATACGCTCTGGTAGAGACAACGGCATTCAAACACATACTCTTCTGCATGCTGCAAATTATGGTACGTGGCGGCTTGCAGCGGAGCAGGAACCCCCAATGAGGTACATGTGAAGACAGAAAGTGGCAGACAGAACGCATCCAAAAACACAAGACTTTCCTACGTTGCAGATCATCTTAAGTAGCGGCTCACGGCGAAGCAGGTACCTTTTGGTTGAAGTCAGTAACTGCGTGAACCAGGGATGTCGCAGACATTCGAAAACACATAGTTTTCTGTATGCTGCAGATCATGGTACGTAACGGCTTGCGGCGAAACAGGCGCCTCTTTAATGAATCCAGTAACTATGTGGACAGAGGATGTGGCAGCCGGAAAGGCATCCAAAAACATATACTTCCCTGGACTTCACGAATCATCTTACGTATCGACATGCGACGAAGCATCTACGCCTTCCGTTGAGCCAGTAGCTAGGTAAAGATATGATGTGGCCCAGACACACACTCTCCTGTATGGTGCAAATCATTTACGCATCGGCTTGCGGCGAAGCAGGTACCCCTTCGATCAAGCCCCTGCGCACCAGCATGTCTCTAACATATGTCGCCTTCGCCGCATGTGACCTGAAGCAGAATGAAGACATTGCGGCGCGCGTTTTATATCATTTTCAAGGCTTGAAGCCGAACTACGCCAGGAGAATGACACGAGCATCACCTGCTGCAACGCGTACCACATAGGCCAGCCAAGGAGACCAGCACCGCTCTGCAGAAAAGGCTACTGTTGTGGAGTAGTAAATGATGCGTGCCCGACCACTAGCCCAGAAACCGACTATCCACTCGCGCATATCCCTACACAGCAGGGCCATGCGCCCAGAGCACTAAAAAGCAGCGGAAACCGAAGCAGCTCCAGCACGAGCGAAGCGAACGGAACCCGTGAAGCGAGATGTCGTGATTCCGCGCTGTAGAGGATGGCAGGGACGGTACAGGACCGAATAACAGGCTCGTATTTCGGATGTACACAGACTTGTGGCCGCAGAAGAGAGAAAACGGCAGACCAACGAAGCCGTGTATCGTCACCCCTGCACCCACCGGAGGGCGTCAGATACTCTGGCAACTGGTCGCCCTAATATTGGGTATGTGACGTCGCAGCTGTGTATACGTAGGTGCACACAGCGGTAGGCAGACGTATGGGTGACAGACAGGTGAATAAGTAGACAGGCGGATACCTGTATGGTTATACGTATATATATAACCGATCATGGTCATAGCCAAACGTGAGATAGCACCGAAGAGGGTTACGGTGGTTCTGCACATACCCGAAGGGCTTCAAATACTTCGCAACTAATCGGCCGGATAACAGTTTAGCGGCCTCGCAAGCGTACATACACTCATGGCCCTAGAAGCTTATGGAGAGCATAGGAGAGCGAAATACCGTCACCCTGCACTTACTTGGGAGGGGCTGCGACGGCTACCTCCACTGCGTGACAGGGCTTCGGACAACTACTCTACCGCGTAAGAGGTTTGCGGCGTAGGTGTACACACAGGCACGGCCGGTAAAAAACATGGGAGACCGTCAAAGAGATATGTTGTCGTTTTGCACTTACCGGAAGGACTTCAAGTATGATCACAAGTATTCTACGGACCAACAGGTCTATGGGCGCAGATGTACCAGTGGCGGAAGAAAAAAATGGAGGCCATCGGACAGAGATACTGTCGCCCTGCACTTACCTGGGATAGCTTCGGCAGCCTTCGCAAGTAGTGGTCATATAGTGTCGTAGCAGGTGCACAAACAGTCATGGCCGCGCCCTGGTTCTGTGGGGTATCGCGTGGTAGTATTCGTGGAAATAAAAGCAGGTATGGACAGAACACGTGCGTCCACAAGTATGTTGCGGCCTCGAATACCCTTACGAGCAGTCTGCGAATAGCGGTCTTGTGACGTTGCGGGTGTGCATACATTCAGGTGCAGCCGCTCTGATTCTTTGCGGCATCTCTTCTCGTAGTCTTTTAGGAACTGAACACCACCGCGTGACAGGAGACTTCTCTGCGGCCAGGTATGCGCGGCGCGTGTGTGTATATCTATACATATACGTATGTATATATTTATATATACATATATATATACACGTATGTAATATATATATATATATACATGTGTATACATACATGCTGTCCTATCTGCCGGATAAACTAGCCTGCGTGAGAGTATCCGCGAGAGCAAGGCTTCTTACACGTCAGAAGGAGTTATAATTCCTGTACAAGCTGTGGGAGAGCGTGTGCATTTCCACAGGGCCGACAGAAAGCAGCGGCGGCCACTCTATGCATCCCGCCTGTGCCAGCGGCTGTAAAAATCACCTGGAGCTGCGTGGGCGTGCACACGGCTGTGATTCATGTGCAGGTGAGAAGCGAAAACACTAACCACCATGCCGCTGGTTCTGATGGTGGTTGCCGAAGCGAGTTTGTGGGTACCGAGCCACGAAGGCCCCAGCAACAACGGCAACAGCAACAGTAGCAAGAGCGACAGGTAGCAAGAGCGACAAGAGCAACACCACCAGCAGCAACAGCGGTAGTAGCGACAGCGACAATAGCAACAGCAACATCGGCAAGACTATCAGTGCTTCAGGATCTGCGCCTCCCGCTCTTAGCACACACGTTCTTGGTGTGGTTCTGTCCTCTACATGCCATGGCCGCTGCCGCAGCACCTGGTGCGCCTATATACCCAGCTGTATGCACTGCTGAATAATATAACAGACTCGCCGGAGAACCACGTACGGCAACTTGGACGGTCTCAGCGAAGCCGGTGACTCGCTGAAGTGTCCCTGCTTCAAAGGCGCTGTATATGTGGCTACTGCCATCTATAAGGAGGAGACAGCTAAAAATCCGTACGACAACCCCCGTGACGGAGCGAGTACGAGGAGCTGTTATCATATAGCATACTTGTTTTGAATTATCTGTTTAACTCTCTATGTGTATCACATACATGATTCTGCAGGGGCCACCATACAGTAAAGTCATCCTCAGTTATACATGCTGTACGCGTCCCCTGCCAAATAATGCGACGGTGACAGCTGAGACTTTGTACGACAACTTGAATGATCCCAGCGAAGCCACAAATACAACGAAGGTGCCGTCCCTGATTGTCGCTGTATCGTGAGCTGCTGCAGTTCGCGCTGCTGACGCTACCGAGGTCGTACTGCTGCGGCGGTCATCGAAGCTGTGAGGCGGTGGTGGCTCACGAGGTTTAAGGCAGCTACTGCGAGCACCGTAGCCACTGTACGCATCTGAACTAGCGTGCGTGACGCCTGAAGAAATTTCGGTCTTCGCTCTCTTTGGCTAGGCGGGCTCCTACCACTGCTACTGGCTTAGCGTGCTTCTTCGTTTAAGATTTTCACTCTCTACGTACCTTAACTACGCGGACTCCTGGTACTACCTCTACTACTGCCTAAACTAATAATAATACTCACTACTGCTGGTACTACTAGTGCTACTACTACTATCACTACTACTATCACTACTAGTAATACTACGCGGACTTACTCGGGGAGGGCTGTCCACTCGCGGTGACGGACCGGAAGAACTTGCCTGCAGAAGTGCCCAGCACAGCCACAGTCTCTGTTCGAGCATTACCACGTGTGCGTGGAGGGGCCTATAACGCTCACCTCATACGCAGCCCCGCAACAGCAGCACGGACGTGGTATAGGCGGCATGTAGTGGAGGGTATCGTTTTCTCCGGGCGCTCACGAGGCTGCTGTTGTGTGTGCCAGCATCAGCGTTGAAGAAGAGATGAAGACCGAAAATGGAACAGCATGGATCTCTATAGTGTTATCTGTACAGCACGCCCTCACCGTATGTCTCATAAACGCCCACAAACTATGGCAGGTATCACGATCCCAAGAGAAAACGCAGGACTAGCTTTCTTACAAAAATAAGGGAGTGCACGTGCACTGAAGTGACACAACCGCGGAGACGTGTTTTGAAAATGCGTACTGACGCATAAGACTTCAGCCCTCCGCCATCCTATGCCGAGAAGCCTCGGAGGAAGACATCTGTAGGCGTGTATCGCTATCAATATATATATATATATACATATATATACGTATATATATATATATGTACATGTATATATATATATATACGTATAAATATATAGATGTATATATATATATATATATATATATATATATATATTACACATATGTATATACATGCCCGCGTTTGCAGGATGTGGTGTCCGGAATATGAGTATTTGCTGGAGCTCCATCGCAGCTCTTCGGCTAGCGAGGGAGGACGAGCCGCTGCAAAATGTCCGGCTCCACTAGCTATAATTCAGCTCGTGTGTATGCCTATCCCGGCCACATTTTAGCCTGGCAAAAACATCTGCGTGTACTCGCAAGCGCTACTGCACGACCTCAGGAACGCCCTTCCAGATATGCGTATTGGTATACGTACACAGCCATTGCCTCCTGCAAAAACAATACCAGCTGCTTTCAGTGCACAGTAAAGTGACGCTTTTAAGGGTACCTATCACGCCTGCTTGTCGACAAACACCTCTGTCTCTCTCTCTCTATATGTATATATATATGTATATTCATATATACATACGGCTCTTTCTCTCTCTCTCTACAAATATATACAGGTACATATATATGTATAGGTACGTACCGCTCCGCGGACCAGAAACACGTAAGGAAGCATACACGCTAAAATATGCGTACTACTGGCAGCACATCAGTGTACGTGGAAGCAAGAGAGCTAAGAGGGGTGAACACTGCAAATCTGCTGCCGTGCGGTCGGAAGGCTCCAGCGCGCCGCCGGGATCTTCTCCCTCCAATCTCCACGTGTTAATGAGTGTGTACCCCATCACAGGAAAGATGATAACAGTGTACAAGCTCCCAGTCCGTGCCGTGAGCTATATTTTTGCGTGTGCAAGGCCGTGCACGAAGACATACGTGTATGCATACGTATATATATATATAAGGTGAGAGATCGACAGCGAGAGACAGGTACATATACGGAGATGACAGATGGGTGGACAAATTAATACACGGAAAGCGCCAGCTTGAATCAATAGATAGATAGGTAGATAGACATCCACGTTCTGCCTTCACTTGCGAGATACCGCCGCAGCATCAGAAGGTGCACAGCACGGCTGTGTGCCTTGCCGGTGTTTTCTGCTGTGTGTGGCTACTGTGGATGCCAGCCTATCGCGTCAAAATTGTTCCTGTCTGATTGCGTGGGAAAACAAGTTACCAGCCAAGTGCTTCTAGGTGCTGCAGGCGCCTCTTTGTCTCTAGACGCAAAGGTATTTGTATATCGAAATCACCCCCGCGCACTCGCCCCCCTTGTCCTGCTTGTTGCTGCAGCCGCAGCTGCTCTTGTCGAAGGTGCTGGCGGTATTCATCTGCTGCTACATTTTCTTCGGGTGCTGCTGCGTGTCCACGCGCTGCTGTGTCTGCTTCGGAGGCTGCTGCTGGCTGGTGCTGGTCTGTATCTCTGCCTTCTTTCTCAGACACAAGAGCAGGACGTGTTGCTGTAACGTAAGCAGAAGCACCAGCAGCAGCAGCAGAAGCACCGGCACACTCGGAGTCCAAGGCGTCAGGCGGAGCGCCTTCTGCTAGTTCCGTGATTGTTACAGCAGGCGGAAGAGAACTGAAATCTTCATCGGCTGCTTCGAGCGCATAATCACGAGACGCCTTTGCGAGTCTGCTAAGCGCAGTGGATAGGGGCCCTCCATAATCCGTTCGCATGGGAATCTGCAATAGCAGCGGTAGCACACCGACCGGCCACATGAACAGCGGCAAGAACTGCTATATACTTATATATACATAATATATAATGTATATTTGTATACATACACTTTGCACAGCGGCAAGAACTGCTATATACTTATGTATATACATAATATATAATGTATATTTGTATACATACACTATATACGCGCGGGAAACACATAAGCGGGGAGGTAGTATGGAGGTGCGCATCAGCATATCTAGCAGCGTGCGCGTAGCAGCAAATAACACAGGTAGACCGTGCAAGTACCCAAGAGGCGGACCTAGCAGCAGCATTAAAGCGCAGCAAGCGCTGGGGAACAGACATTACAGATAAATAGTAGATAGGTACCCGCATGCATACTTACCACCGGCACAAAAACAGCAGTAAATGTGATAGAAACGCAGGAACAGCCAGATAGTCTACAGATCCCAACAGCGTACCCAACAGCAGCATAATATCAGTAAAGGATATTTGATAGGAAACATACACACGGGTTTATAGCATAGAGTACCCGCCTGGCTATCCGGTCATCCTGCAGCAGCAAGTGCTGCGATAGGGAATGCTGCAGCAAAGGCTGCTGTGGTGGGGCCTTCTGCAGAAGCAGCAGCAGGCGCAACAGAGGTGCACCGGGATGAGCATGTTTAACGTCACTGACGCCTGACGCTATGCAGCAGCAGCAGCCAACAGCAGCAGAGGCCAACAGCAGGCCAGAAGTCCACAGCACGGCAGCTGCAGCAGTCCACGAGGGGTCTGTAACGACGCTCGTATTGATCCTCCACGTCCACTTTCCAGCAAAGAATGCTGCAGCACAGGTGACAAGAGCTGCGCCGGAGAAGATAACAGCAGCGCCAAGAAGATATGCAGACTGTTCAATAAAGGCCAGCAACAGGCGTTCCACAGTAAACAGCCGCGTGCGGAGCCACACGAGAAAGGGTATGGCATCGACAACTGCTGCTGTCGCTGTACCTGAAACTGACTATCAACAGGACACAGCACTTCTAGAATGAGCAGCTGCCTGCGACGATGCAAAAGAAGTAAACAGTTGTCAGCTGCTGCTGCTGCTGCAGCACATCGGACTGACTGCTGAAAGCCCAATGATAGCAGCCCTACAATGAACAGCTGCATGCGAAGACGCACAAGAAACTGGGTAGTATCTTTGCCGCTGTTGGTGCTGCTGCTGCACCATTGCCAACCACCAGACATAACGAAGCTTCCAAAAACCATAGCCATAGCCAGTGAAAATTACCGTTAGCAGCCGCACCGACATAACAGCCGAAAGTAGCGGCTAGAGGCAGCTGCAGGAAGCAGTCACTTGAAGCGTTTGCTGAATGGAATCACGTAGAGCAGTGGCTGAGAGAACACTTGCAGAGCGAACGAACCGCGGGAGAATGGGGCTCGACTTACCGATGCTTGCGAAGAAAGTAGGCGAGTTGGTAAGAGAGGATGGTGTCGCTTAGCAGTGATGCAGCTGGTAAAGGAAATCGCGGAACAGAACAGCAGCAGCAATACCATGGGAAGGTACAGTTAACAGAAAAGCCATGCACAGTCGCTACAAACGCCCATCAGGTTGACACGCAACGTATTTTTGCAAGACATACCACCTTGTATCGCTCTATCTCTCTTCAAAAACATGCACACATACGCATGCACAGACAAATATATGTGGATACATACACGCTCGTAATTCTATACAAACGTATACAGGCGGCAAAAAAGTGCGTGCTCTAATGAGGGAAGAGGATACAAGCCGTGCACACAAATAACGACAGCCGTTCAGCAGCATTTGATGCAGGCCGACACATCTCACGGCGACGTGAACACGCTACTTGCGCAGCAGCAGCAGTAGCAGCTGCAGCAGCAGCAGTTGAAGCTGCAGCAGCAGCGGCCACCTTTCCTTATAGGAGCGCGACTCGCTTTCCAGACAGCCTGTACCTTCTGGTCGTGTAAGGGTAGCACATTATCAGAGAGACAAAGCATCTTTAGTGGCCACATGAACAGCTGTGTAGCGTGCATACAACCAACAGCAGTGCAACGGCAGCAGATCTTGAAAGAGCTAGAACTATAGCAGCAACATGGGTCCACATGTATGGCCGTGTACCATGTAGAGGTCCAGCAGACCTGAATAGCGGCCTCCACAGCACCAGGGGAAAAGAAGAGGAGCACCAGAGTGCCGGCGTCTCAACACGCTCCGGTGCAATGCTGCCGTATGTGTGCATGTCTTGTTGGGCCATATGATGAGACTGAGTCGTCCTTAAATGATATATCTCTTTTTCTCCAACCAAGCGTTCAGATTAAGTGCATGTATAGTTATACATGTATATATACAATTATTTATATATATATACACACAAATATACGTTTACATACATGTATATACGAATGGTAGAAATGAATTGCTGCTATATTACATGTGTTTCCCTTGCCGACCAAGCAGAGTGCGAGGAGGAAGCAAGCGAGCCGGAAAATAAGAGTGTGGCTATAGTATGCAGTGCTTGCGTAAAGAAGGCTCTGGTCTGCGTGCATGTTGTACTGAGCTGTATAATAGAAATGAGTTGCTGCTACACGACGTCTCTCTGTATTTCTTTGAGCCAGCAAAGTGGCAGGAGGAAGCAAATGGGCGGAAGAACACGAATGTGGCTATAGTATGCGATGCCTAAGTAGCAGCGGCTGTTGTATGTGTGCACGTTGTACAGGCGTATGCGTGCACCTGGGATGCTCCTATATGACGTTTTCCTCTTTTTATCATTGAGCGAGCAAAGTGCTAGAAGGAAGCAAGCGAGCAGAACAATAAGAGCGCAAACATAAAGTGCGGCGCGTACGTGGGATTGGCTGCTGTCCGTGCGCATGTTGTACTGGAATACATGTGCAGGAGAGCTGCTGCTATAAGGGATTTCCCTCTTTAAGCAGCAAACGTACAGGAGGAAGTAAACGAAGAGAATCACAAAGGAAGATGGATTAGTATGCGCTGCTTACGTAGGAAAGGTGCGTCTCGCACTGCAGCAAGAAGACGAACTGTTGCGTCACTCAGCTGGCTGTAAGTAAGAGGGAAATCGAGACGAAGAGTAAGTTCTACCGTCTTCAGTCCCCCAAGAATTTGACTGCCTGGCTGCAGCATTGCAACATTCCAGGCCTCCTCTCGTTTGCTGCTGCCGGTGCGGCGGGTCGCCGCCGACGCAGCAGTAACAGCAACAGTAGCAGCAGCAGGGAGAGAGGAATCTGCTGCTGCCAACGAAGAAGCAGGAGCAGACATATCAGCAGCAACATCAGAGCAGTTGAAACGGGAAAGAAGAGCTTCAAGAGCTGCTGCAGTATATAGACGGGTAGATAACATAGTACACAACAAGTGCACAGCCTCTAAAGGTGTCACCTGCAGTTGTGCCCTGCTGCTGCTGCTGCTGCGGCGGGATCTGCTACGACGCGTCAAAGAAGTGGAAGAGCCTATCCCACGGGCTGCATCTCCGCTGCTGCTGCTGGTGCTGGAAGCTCCCGAAGAAGCAGCAGCACCAGCAGAGCACAGATATACAAAGATGCGTCTCAACACCTCTGCGTATATGCGAGCCTGCAGCAGCAGCAGCAGCCGAAGCACAAGTAGCCCCCCATAGTTCCGCAGCAGCAAAACAGTCAGTCACAGGTATCAGAAGCAGCAGCATGACAGGCACGCCCCAAACTTCGGCAGCAGCAGGGCAGCCGGCATCCACGCTTCAAGAGCGGCAGCTGAGCAACCAGTGCCCACGTATCACCAGCAGCAGCAGCAGCAGAACCGCCAGTCCCCACATACCCACAGCAGCAGAAAAGCCACTCCCCACACAGGAGCAGCAGCAGCGGAAAAGACAGTTCCGCAGAAGGGCCCATCCCCAGACATCGGGAGCAGCAGCAGCACAACCACTACCAACACACCAGCAGCAGCAGCAGGACAGCCAGCCCCCACATACGAGCAGCAGGAGGACAGGTACCCCCCATATACAAGCAGCACAGCAGCAGCAGCAGCAGAACAACCAGTCCCCACATGTCAGCAACAGTAGCACAAATGGCCCGGACCCCGAACGTGCAACGCCCGCCAGTCTTATCAGCATCCCCCTTTGAACCGCAGCAGCATATTACTGGCGAGCAACGGCCCACACAGAGAGAAGCCCGGCTTGAGAACAGATTGCCAGCAGGAGGAGCAGCCGAACAACGAGTTCCCACTTGTCAGCAGCAGCAGCAGCAGTACAACCAGTCCCCACGCAGCAGCAGCAGGACAACCACTCCCCACATATCAGCAGCAGCAACAGCAGAACAACCAGTCTTCACATGCCAGCAGCAGCAGCATACATGGCTCGGCGCCCGAAGGTGCCTCGCCCTCCAGTATCCTCAGCTTCCCCACTGAAACAGCAGCAGCATACCACTGGCGAGCAACCGTCCACACAGAGAGAAGACCAACGTGAGAAGAAATCGCCAGCAGCAGCAGACTCATAAACAGCAAAAGCACAGGTTAGTCATCAGAGATAGCAAACTCAGACAGGCGCATTATATCAGCGCCAGCAGGGTCACCAGCACCTTATCATCATTCCTCGGCACCTTACTAGCCTGATATTTCAGCAAAAACAGCAGCTCCGTCTCATATATATACATATATATATACATGCATGGACGAATATATATACATATATATACATATGTATGTATAAACGAATACATATATATACATGTATATGTGTATTATGTGGGTGAATATGTCAGCGTCCAGACGCAGCAAAGCAAACGGAAGTGGCTTACCAGCATAGCGGCACGAAGCACCGTACAAATGGCGTCTACTGTCGGCGCGTCCTCATTTCCAGCATCCAGCTGTATGTACACCCCATCAAACACACGCATATAGCACACGTCTACTGTCGCCGCGTCTTCATTTCCAGCATCCAGCTGTATGTACACCCCATTAAACACACATATATATAGCACACGAAGAGCTGTATGTACATCCATGAAACACACGCACATGGCACACGGCTACTGTCGGTGCGTCTTCATTTCCAACATCCAGCTGTATGTACACCCCGTTAAACACACACATATAGCACACCTCTACTGTCGGCGCCTCCTCATTTCAGCTGTATGTACCCTTCATCAAACATACATATAGTACACGTCTACTGTCGGCGCGTCCTCGTTTCAGCATCCAGCTGCATGTACACCCCATCAAACACACATACAGCACACGTCTACTGCCGGCGCGTCTGCATTTCCAGCATCCACTTGTATGTACACCCCATCGAAGACACACACATAGCATCCGAAGAGTTGTAGATACACCCTTTCAAACACGCATATACTACAGACGCAGACGCATAAGCGTTGAAGACCCACAAAAAGGAGAGCCATACCTAGAAGAAGGAATAGCAGCAGAGGCAGAAGCGATAGTAAATAAACATTATAATTAGGCAAAGGCACTTACTTTATACTTCACAAGAGCCGTGAAGGGAAAGTAACAATTCATACAAGGAGAAGCAGCAGCGGCAGCAGCAGGAGTAAATACGCCTCGGAGTTCCAGAAAGACAGTCAGCTTCTATGACAGAAGACCCATGATGAAGAATAGCAATACACACAAAAAGGCGAAGCGGCAGCGGAAGCAGCAGAGATGAATGTAAATCGTATTCTGAGGGAGCAGCAGCTGCAGCAGCAAGCATGAATGGACAACGTATCATGAGAAAGGCAACGACATAATAACACAGAGGGCGTCTGAGGCCGAGACGCGAACGGCCGGTAGCAGTATATACAAGACGGCGTGGGAGCAGCAGCAGCAGTAGCAGCAGAAATGAATATCGGTGATATTGTGCTGGTAACACTGACTCTATCACAGAAGAGGACCAAGGCGTAGATGTGGGAGAACGACCGCGTCGGATAGCGGCATATGCAAGACGGCGCGGGAGCAGCAGCAACATTAGCAGCAGAAATGAATACAGATGCTAGTTTGCTAAGAACACTAACTCTATCACGGAAGGACGACCAGGGCGTAGATGTGGGAGAACGACCGCAATACAAACAAGGTGGCGCGGCAGCAGCAGCAACAGTAGCAGAGCCGAATACCAAGTACAATCTGCTTAGGCCAGACTCTGTCCAGGCAGACGCCCAAGGCGGAGATGTGAAGCGAGGACAGCAACACATACAAGAAGGCGCAGCAGCAGCAGCAGCAGCAGCAGCAGTAGCAGCAACAGCAGCAGTAGCACCAGCAGCAGCAGAAGTATAGATGGATCATGTCGTGCTGAAGACACCGACTTTAGGGCAGAAAACGCCCAAGCGGAAGACGTGAAAGGAGGACAGCAATACCTACAAGCAGGCGCAGCTGCAGCAGTGGCAATAGCAGCGACAGCAGCAGCAGTAGCAGCAGCAGCAGTAGCAGCAGCAGCAGTAGCAGCAGCAGCACTAGCAGCAGCAGCAGAAGTATAGATGAATAATAGTACGCGAAAGACACTGACTTTATCGCAGAAGACGCCCAAGGCGGAGACTAGCAGTCGTCGCTCGCGGTCGTTGCGAAGGCGCTGCTGCTTGGTTAGTTGCGCCTCCTCCGCAGCAAATGCTCCGTTGCACCGGCCCATACGCCCCAGCAGCAGCATCAAGAGGGTAAGTTCCTTCGTCTGCAGCAGAGACAGTCCCCCTTGCTGCAGCAGCTCGCAGCAGTTCCTACTTATAAATTCTTCGTCAACTCCTTCTTTCGAATAAAAAAAGGCTACAAAGATCAAAAGCATACGTACGTATATATACATATATATACGTACGTGTAGGTGACACACGCTTATACATGTATACACTGGCAGAATCGCTCGCACTCCTGATGAGCATGTGAGGAGAAGTGCAGAGACCTATGCAGCTAGGCACAAGCCTGGGTCTGCATCGACTATGCATCAATACACAGATATGCAGACACGTCTGAATAAATAGAAGTGGCACGTTCCATGCACATCTACGGCTGCAAAACGCACCCTCGCGCGCAGCCGCGCACATTATATACATATATATATATATATATATATATATATATATATATATATATATACACATACTGCGACACCAGCGGCAGTCAGTAGCAGCAGCAGCCACGCGGATGAGCGCCAGCGCCGTGGGTCTTCCAGCAGGCCCACCGACAGCATTAGGCAGAAGCAGACGCCACGTACGGTCGCACAAGAAAGCAACTGAAGAGACGGCAGCAGCGGCAGCAGCAGCAGCAGCACCAGCGGCAGCAGCACCAACAGCAACGGAAGCACCAGCATCCAGCGGCTGCAGAGATCTACGACAGCAGTAGCGGACGAAACGGTTAGCCGCAGCATTAGCAAAACGCCCTAATGTGGGTGCGTAGCGGCAGTCTCCTACGCAGACCTCGCCACGCACTGCAGCTGTGCATGTGTATGTATACATAAATATATATATATATATATATATAAATATATATATATATATACATCTCTGTAAAAATGTATGTATATATACACGGTCGATATATATATATATATATATACATAGATATCTACGTGTGTCTGCCGAAGAGATATACGACGGCTTTCCACGACGGTGAGATGCGTTTTGTGCTTACGCTAGCACGGGTTGTAAGTGTACAGTCTCCTCCGCACGACTCACTACGCACTACGTATCTGTAGACATATATATATATATATATATATACTCATATACATTTATACGTATACATCTTTGCATACGAATAAGAGGGGATACATGAGTCCGTCTGCCAAGCTGACACAAGTTTCCGGTGCTCACATTATTGCGAGTGCGTTGCAGCGGTTTCACGTGCACACCTCCATTGGGGCTACATCTACACATATATACATGTATATGTATATGTGTGTATATATATATATATCCATATGCGCATATACGATTCATCTATATACACATATATGCATACGACTGAATAGAGGTGTATGCGTTCTTTCTGGTGTGTATCTTGTGCTTACGCTGGAGCTGCCAGGAGCAAGCCCACAACATAAGAACCTCCGCAGCCCACGAAGGAGGAGCTGTATCTGTCCTGCCTTCTTCGGTTGCTGCTGCTACTTCTTCGTCATATGGAGCAGCAGAGACAGCGACAGGAAGATCTGCTGCAGCAGCGGATGACTCCGCAGAGGAGTCAGAGGCCTCCGCTCTTCGCGCGCATGCAGCCAGCAGCTGCTGGAAGATCTCCGACAGCAGATTTCTCAGCGGAACTGACGGCTGCAGCTGGTATCGGAGCTGCAGCAGCAGCGGGGCACACATAAAAGCCGGCAGCAGGCATCATACTCACGACAACTGCACCAGCTGCATCTTGCGTAACTTACAGCAGCGAAAGGAGAAACAGTCTGCATGTCCATGCGTCCTGCAGTAAATGTACCTATATATATACATATAAATATACATATATATATATATATATATATATATATATATATTCACATACATCTATGTACCTACATATGCACATCTACATAAAGATGCAGAAGCAGAAGGAGCGCTTGAGGCCTGTACCGCAAGCGGCAACTGCTTGACTGCCAGTGGCGGCAGAAGCAGCAGCAATAGTACTCCTGCTGCAGCAGCCGGCCCACCAGCGACAAGGGTATACTGACAGGCGCATGGGAGTGCAACTCTGGCACTACGCACACAATCAAAGGACCCTTACATGCGTATTCATATTGTTATATGTATATACATGTAGAAGTATCTGTGCCCACCTGTTCGAAATCAGTGCATGTTAGTATATTTATAGATCTTTGTGCCGGACTGCGTATGTATATATATATATATATATATATATATATATATATACGCACTCCGGCACAGGAACCACGAGGTGATGCGCATGAGCGCCGGTATATGAGCCTTCGGATGTACGCATATAAACACACGGAGCCGTAACTATACATATAGATATAGATACATGAATACATGTATATCCGGCGTCAAACACAAGCGTTAGTCTTTCACGACCACTTTCGTATTATTATCCAGATAAACCGAAGGGACGCGTGGCGTACACAGTAAAATGTGCACTAGTGCATATATATATATATATATATATATATATATATATATATACAAGTATGTGTATATGCGTATATATATATGTATGTATATATACATGAGTATGTATAGAGGTAGGGACGAGAAAAGGGACGCTAGTACGCACAGATGTTCCCACAAGTAAAACAAACCCCACAATGGTATAACTGGGCGGTCCCCAGAAGTTGCACAAGCATATTCTCCCGTATTTAAGTAGAACACGCTACCTTAGCGAGCACTTGTAGCAGTTGCAGCTGCTGCTGTGGGGAGAGCTGCTTCTCGCTACAGTCCTTGTGGAGTTGCTGCAGCAGCGTGGTTGGTTGAGGAGTGCCGGGTGGTTCATCGCGCTCCTCAAGCCGCCGCAACATTTCGAGTAGTTCTTCTGCTTCTCTCTCTCTCCTCACTCACATCACTG